ATGAGACAAAACAAATTAAAAAATATCCATCTGCTCCAGGCAAGGCCAGTGTGGATTACATACTCATTAAGTCTTTGGAAGTGGCTTTCAGTTGGTGAAAGCTTCTGGTGGGGATGGGGCCTTGTGTCCACTTGCCTTCTCAGCACTGGGATCCTGCCTGGCACAGAGCCGTGCAGGCTTTGTGCTTGCTGCCAACGTGTTTTTGAGCTTATATGTTTGTTGGTACTGCTGTGTTTAGATGAATGGCCTTGTTTCCTTACCATCCTTCTTCCCTCCTGGTTTTTACAATCTTACACTTCCTCTTCCCTGTTCCCTGAGTCCTAAGAGGAAGGGTTTGATGAAGATAGCCCATTTACAACTGAATGTTCCAATGTCTCTCACTCTCAGCACATTGTCCACTTGTGGGTCTGTTTATTAGTTACCGTCTACTGCAGAGGAAGTTTCTCAGATGATGGCTGGAATGAGGCCTGATTTACGGGTATAGTAGGTTTGGAATCAATATACTGCTACATTCCTTTAGCAAGACAATGGTGTTTGGTTTACTCCAGCTTTGTGGCCTGTCTAAGCCTCAGATTATTGGCCACCTGAATAGTGTCAGTATAGAGTCAATCTTATAGAATGGTCCTTAAATCCAATCAGATAGTGGTTAGTTATTCCTACAGCTTTTTTGCCATTATTGCACTAGCATATTTCACCATCTCCAATGCTGACAGGCAGGTAAGCACTGTAGATCACTGGATTTATAACTGGGTTGGTGGTTACTGTTCTCTTCTGCTAGCATGCAAAGTAGCTGCCAGTACCATGAACGTTACTCACTAGGGGTGAATGCTCTAGGTAACTTTCTGGCTTTTCTATACTCAATGAGTTATGTAGGTATTGTCTTCAGTGATAGGGGTTTATTATCAGTTTGTGAAGAACAAACCGTAGCCTTGTCAATAGCCTGAATTGTTTGGTTGTTTTCATGGGGATCCCTTTGGCCAATAACTTAATTAGATATAACTCATTCCTGGCACTGGAGATTTTATTTTTTGAAAAGAGAAGCCTAGTTGGGACTTTGTCTACCTCCCCTCCCAAATTTGGTGATTCCATTTATATTTCATATGTGTGTATATATATATATATATATGTGTGTGTGTGTGTGTGTGTGTGTGTGTGTATGTGTGTGTGTATTTTAAGAAGCTTCTACTGTAGTAGGTATACAACCCCTCAAATGGTAAGATAGATTTTGTGTAAGTGTTACAACTTGGATGGTATCCTGGCAGTCAGGAGCCAAGGAATACCACAAAGTTATACTGTACAACAAACTTTATACAAGACATTCATTGGGAAGGAAAAACCCAGGAGAGTAGCTGTCTTTACTTGGGTGAGAAGCAGCAGAGAACTGAACAGAAGACAGAATATATATATTATGCCAGTATACACATGCACACGCACACACACACACACACACAGACACACACACACACACACACACACACACAGAGTACTTCATAGAGGGTAGAATTTTCCAGGGTGAAGACTTCTAGGGTAAGGATTGTTGGTTTTTCAAGTCCAGAGTTTGAGCTTTTTACTCTGCATGACGAGATTGGGTCCATGTAGGGAAGTTAGTGTTCTGTAGTTGGAACCTGGTGGTTGTAGGTCCTCAGGGAAGGCTTCTGACCCTCTTGTGCTTGCTTCAAGGGGCTTACACTTTGAACTCCAGAGTCACCTCTCTCTGTTTCAGTAGTGCTGGAATTATGGATTTGTGCTATCACAATCTGGCTACTATATTATTTTGTCATGATTTGCCTTAACTTTATATATGTGTGTATACATATGCATGTGTATATATACATGTATATATATTTGTGTTGTGTATAATGAAGATAATAGAGTGGTCTTAAGTGATAATGAGAGCAAAGGTTTGTTAGTAATACAATATTGTGCATGAGCCATTAGTATGTTAGCTTCTGGTTAAGAACTTAGTACAGAATGACCTATGAAAATGAGCTTAATTTAGTGTATTGTAAAGGATATTATTGACTGGTGAACAATTACCACTTAAGAATTTTGGTACTTTATGGAAATTTGAGTGACAAGTTTACTTTTTGTCTTATACAAATTCTAGAATGTTCCCAAGTATTAGCCTATTTAGACAGGTACTAATGATGTTAGGGTTTCTCTTTAAATGAAAGACTCATATCACATTGTTAAGGAAATGTTACTTAAAACATTTTAGGAAAGGAGAAAGTTTATTTTGAATTTATTTTGAGTGGTTACTAATAAGTATGGTGAGCTTCAAAGTAAGGACAGCAGATTTGTGAGAAGAACATTTCCTTACCACCCATTTTATCTTATTGGCAATTAGACAATTGACAAAAGGTAAGCATGGGAAACATGTGACAGTTCATTTTAAATAAATTTAAACCTTCCATAAGGATATGAATAATCAGAGAAACCATTAAATTTGCTGCTTTGATGTTATGTTAGACAAAGAGGGGAACATTGTGGAAAGATAAGATGAAGAGGCATGTGCTTTAAGTAGCAATTGTCAGAAATCTATATGCCTCCCCATATCTGCTCTTTGTGGAAATCAAGTTATTTTTTCCCCTGCCATTACAGGGAGGGTGCCTCTTGGGGGCATGTCTTGAGTTTCATGACTTGTTTCTTAAGACATGGGAGGGTAAAGTTCAGAGGTCCTTCTTATACTGCCATTTCTTAGTTCCTCAGTTCAAAATATGTACGATGCTTAAAGTACTGTGTTTTTTGATGGAGCACACTGAACTCTGTCAACTACAAGCAATCTTTGTTAAAAAAAAATAAAAATCAAACATAGTTCTTACATACCAAAGGAAAAAGGACAGAAACTAAAGGTAGTATTCTTAATTAGAAATTGATAGGAAAAGACTATGTAACATATCTGTCCAAGAGACATGATCAAACATCTCACAATTATAAAAACGTCTCACAGTTTATAAAAATTACTTTAGAGGCCGGGCGGTGGTGGCGCACGCCTTTAATCCCAGCACTTGGGAGGCAGAGGCAGGAGGATTTCTGAGTTCGAGGCCAGCCTGGTCTACAGAGTGAGTTCCAGGACAGCCAGGGCTACACAGAGAAACCCTGTCTCGAAAAACCAAAAAAAAAAAAAAAAAAATTACTTTAGATTTATAAAAAGATTCTGGACCAACTTATTATAAGAAGACTTTAGTAATTTTTTGAGCTAATAATTAGTTGAAAATTATGAAAAAAATGTTGGTTATATTTGCTACATTTGAGTGAAAAAGCAGCAGACTAAGAATCTATACTTGTGTGCATGTGAGAATAATAGTTGATTAATTGCTTGATTGTTGTAGGATTTTTGCATTTGAATTTGAGAGTGGTAGAAAAACATTTTTATACTGTATTCTTTTTTATTTGAGCCATGTTAATTTATCTATTCCAAAATCACTTTTGTTTCATTGTCTGAATGAATGTTGTACAATGCTTATGGTGTGTATCACTTGGTTTCCTTATGGGATACTTTCCCTTCCCTATTAGGCCTGCAATGTTATTTTCATAATACATTTGCTTTAGTAGTTTCCCTGAGCTAGCATATACCTTATGTTTGTTATCTTAACAGAAAACTCTACTAGTAGAGAATTTAGTTTTGAATATAGATTTTAATAGTGCTTTGTATAAGATTAGTAAGTATTTATAATTAGATTTTACTATTATATCTACTGCCATGTGTGATTGTTGAATGCTGTTCTATCATTTTCTAAAAGATATTGTTTGAGGTAGTAATCTTTTGACTGATGTACATTCATAATGATAGCTCACATGCAGTTGCATTGAAACATGTCTTATTTATTTGTTATGAAAAACATTGATAACATACAATACAGACAACTATGATGTCATATTCAGCAAGTATTATATGACATAACACAGTGAAAAGGTACATTTATTTAAAGCAAAGCCAGTTGCTAAACATGCCTGCTAATTTTAAAAATCTAAATTTTTATGAGTTAAACATTCTTAATATATGAAATAAGATATTAACATCTTGATTAATTTCTCTTTTGTCTCCTAGTTAGTAAATCTGAGTGCCAAATAAGTTGTAAGTAATGGCAAAAAAAATGTTGCTGTTAATAGCACATAAGTATCTGTAACAGGGAGTTTATAGAAGTGCTTTCTAAACATTACAAACTGCTATAGATTAGCAATCAAATGATTGTGAAGATTAATGAGTGTTCTTTTAGCTGGGTAATTTAGAACAATATCTGGCCATTAATTGTGAATTATCAGTTTTACGTCACAAATACCTTTAGAAAAACAGCAAAAAAAGATAACAACAGTGATAATTGTTTAATTACCACTTAGCTTTTAGGTGATTGGACTAAATTAAGGGGAAATTAGTAAAGCAACCAAACTTAGATTTTTACAAGGATTTCAAATCCTGAAGGTATATGCTTTCTACCTTTGGTGATGTTTTTTTTTTCTTAATAACTCTGTCTCCAGTTTAACATGACAATAGGATGAATATATTTGTTACTTGGGGGGTTTCCAAATTATTTGACCTAATGTTCTTTTAAATAAAGGTTCCAGCTTTTGTATTGCACAGAAAAAAAGTGAGCCAAAAGAAAGAGACACCATTTATAATGAGTTTAAACTTTGAAAGTAATTATTGACATTTGGGGGAAGGTTTGAAAATAACCTGTATCCATTAGCTAAGTATAAATAAGCTTTTGTTGTTTGTAGTTACATTTAGACCTTCTAATAACTGATACCTAATTTATTAAACTAAATAACTAATTTATTTAAATTTATTTTAAAACTCTCTTCTGAAGACAAATGACAGAGAAATGGGTTTTCATTGTATTAAACCTGAAATTATTGAAAGAATTTTAATTTTAAGTTCTGTAAATGGTGCTCATGTACTTGAAAGAGAGGAAGGGCTGATACTGGGTTGTAATGTAAATAAATAGATAAATTTAATAATAAAAATCTATCTCTTAACTGTTTATATGTATTTTTTGTAGGTTACTTTTGAAATACACAAAGAAAACCTTGCCAATATATTTAGGGAAGAGCAGGAAAAAGGTGATGAAGAAATAGGGCCGTGTTCTTCAAGTCTGGTTCCAGAAGGCACTGGTGTTCCCAGGGATGTTGTTTCAGTGGGGCCCCAGCACTCAGATCGGAAAGAGTTTTCCATCTCTCCTCCTTTCACTAGAAATAGTGATGAGAACTCAAGTATTGGGAAGGCAAGTTCAGTAGATTCTGCATCCAACATTGAACTGCAGACACCTGATATATCTAGTGATGAAAAAAAAATGGAGCAAGATAATCAAGAGTTACTGGATCAGGCCACCATGGAGGAAACGACTACAAATGAGACGAAGGATGCATGTGACTTAAAAGCTTCTTCTGATGCAGTAGGACCAATGACTCTTACCTCTAATTCTTTGGAACCAGGCAAAGATATAGTGACCATCAGTGAAGTAAGTTCTCCCTCAGAACAAGATGCTGCAGAGATGCCAGAATTACTGGAAAAATCTGGAATAGAGGAAGAAGAAGATGATGATTATGTGGAACTGAAGGTGGAAGGCAGCCCTACTGAGGAAGCTAGTCTGCCCACAGAGCTCCAAGGTGAGAGTTTGTCTGTAGCTGCCTCTGAAGGCAGAGAAGAGCCAGATATGTGTGGTAATGGTTGTGAAGTTCAAGAGGAAGCACCTATTACTAAAACTCACACTGATTCTGAAACTGGAGATTTTAAAGATTCTAGATTTCCAACTGTGGACACAGCAGGGTCTTCAGCTACCTCATCAGAAGTACCTGTTCCCCAAACAACTGTACAGTCAGACAGTGATGAGATTCTGGACGAAGTGATGAAAGCAACTAACCTTGCTGGAGACACTAAGTCAGTTAGTGATTGTGCTGATAATGTCTCTGAGGCTCCTACCACTTCTGAGCAAAAGATTGCCAAGCTGGATGTTTCTAGTGTTGCTTCAGATACTGAGAGGTTTGAATTGAAGGCCAGTACGAGCACAGAAGTACCGCAGCCTCAACGACATGGGCTTGAGGTAAGTATAGATATTGTCTTTAAAAAAATGCATGCATATTTTGCTTGCATGTTTGCCTGTGTATATCATGTGTGCCAGTATTTTCTCTCTGGCGTGAACTTTCACTGAGTTAAAAACTGTAATTGTGGGTACTTGTATTTCATTAATTTAATAGTCGTAGTCACATAAGTGTATATGTAAATACTATATTTCAAAAGGTTTTATAATAATTGACAGTCTGAATTTATGACCATTCATTCATTCATTCGTAAATACTCTACCAGTGATTATACCCTCAGCCCCAGTGTGAGTTTATTAAATGGCAGCTTTTATTATTTTAACATACATCACCAAACATTGCCACTTTTAACTTCAAAATTGGCATAAGTTTAGTTTATAAAGCAACTGTAGAAAATACTTGTTTTTTATTCTTCAGCTGAATCAGTTTTAGCACATTCCTTTTCTGGTTAAACGTGGGGCTATGTAATTACCAAGGCATGACTCTGGTTTCAAGTTTAAGGATCTGTTTGTACTATGAGAAGAGTCTGTGTGATTGAGAGGCATAGCTTTCTGTTTTTCCAGTATTTCACAGTGTCATGTGGTACAAGTGGTTGGATGTATGTTATTGCTTCCCTCCTTTTTTCTTAACCTCTGTTTCTCATTTCCTCCCTTTCTTTTAGTTGTTGTTGTTTTGTTTGTTTTTCATTATGTTGACCTTTGTTAATTCTTATTTTAACTAATGAAGAGTAATCTAGTTACTGTCTGGACTATAAATACTGCCATCTTAGCTAATATTCAGATTTAAAAATTGTTGAATTCCTTCGTGAAATGCTACACAGTGGCAGTGTCTATAATAACATGCTACTATGCTAATTACTGTTGAATTATGATATAAGTATTATACCATGATAACTTTGCTTTAAATGTATGGTAAGATTACTCATTGATAAGTTTCTTTTAATTTTACTTTGTAGTTTATTAGAATTTGAATATTTGTTAGGTGCATTTCAGGGAAGCTACTGAATTCTTTGCTAATGCAAAACTTTTGAAGTTCTTAACCTTTTCTCTATTAGATATCAAGGCAACAGGAACAGCCAGGACAAGAAACAGCATCAGGAGCAGTAGACCAACAAAGGAGGGACTCCAGACCGACCATGTTTCGCATTCCCGAGTTCAAGTGGTCTCAGATGCATCAGCGTCTGCTCACTGATCTCTTATTTTCCATAGAAACAGATATACAGATGTGGAGAAGGTTTGTTCATATATTCCTTATAGAAGACAAGTATGGATCTTATTCTCTGTTTTCTAAGAAATTTATGTAAACATTTTGCATTACTCCAAACATTTGATTGAAAAGCAGAATATAAATTACTCTTTGTTAGTTTTTTATCACATTACTATTTATTTTCCATTCTATGCGTGGAATCTCTGGATTACAAACTGAGGAAAATCCAAGATTTCCCATACTAAAATTTGCTTAAGGTTTGTTATAGTATTTATAGACTAGAATTAACTAGAAGGTAGACATTCCAATGGAGCTTATTACTGTAAATGTCAAAAATTAAGGAAACTTATGTATAGCATTGTTCATATGTTTAATACAAATTAACTATATATATTCTATTATTTTATATTGTGTGATTTATAATTTTAATAGAATCTAATTTGTTGATTTTTTGTTTGTAAGTTACTCTTACCACATTTAAGAGAATTTTATACCACTATGTAAGAAAGTATTAGTGAAATTTATTTTAAATAGCACATGTAGTGCTGTTTGCCTCCTATTTTTTGCTGTGATTTCTTTTTTGTTAATTTTTTTAATTTATTTACATTTCAGATGACATCCCCTTTCCCCATTTCCCTTCCCTAGAAACCCCCATCCCATACCCTTCCTCCTTTTTGCTTTTATACCATTTTAATTACATGTAAGTATTAAAGTCAGTTCTAGGTTGAGGAACTAGCAGTACAATAGATGCAAATAGTCAAGGAACAAACAAGACAATAAACACAAACAGTCAAAGAACAAGCAAGGCAATAAACAAAGTTCCGTGAACACTCCCGTGATCACTGTTTCTAAGGGCTTACCAGGATGACCAAAATATTTGAGCCTACTTCTCTGAGAGTTCTAGCCCAAGCTGTGATTTCTTAATAAGCATAATTTCATTCAACTCTTTAATCCAAATGTATAATGAGTAGTGTCGGCTTTAGCAGAGGTTCTATGCTTTATACATAGACAGTGACTTCTGACAGTGGTTTACTTTTTCTGAGAAACTGTGCACCTCGGTATCTGCTACATTTCCTGCCTCTCCTTAAGCAGGTATATGGTATACTGTGATTTCCTTTCCTTAGCTTCATCAGTAAACATAATTTATCTTTGGACAGCCATTCAACAAAGACAGTTATGGACTTCGTGAATAGCAGTGATAATGTCATCTTTGTACACAACACAATTCATCTCATCTCTCAAGTGATGGACAATATGGTCATGGCTTGTGGGGGTATACTGCCATTGCTTTCAGCTGCTACATCGGCCACAGTAAGGACTTCACTATACAGTTGGTGTGAAATCATGAATACTGTGCATCCTCAATGATTACAGCTTTGTGCAGTGGTTTCTATCCATAATAACTGCTGTAATAAAAACAAATCTTTTATATTTACCTGGAAAGATTTTAGGATGTGTTGTAGGAATGAGAAACTTTCAAAGAATGGTACTTTACTAGGCATGAGTTCATTTGTGAAGAATATGATGTGAGTGTTCTCATTGCCTTGTTTTTTTTTTTTTTTAAGATGAAAAGAGAAACCAGTCTATTGTAGATTTTCAGAGATCTTAAACTTGAAAAATCTAAAAATGTGAGGACTGCACGTGTTACATGTGAATGTGGATGTAATCACTAAACTTTATATCTTACAGCATGAGCTGGAGAGTATCGAGCCTACTCAGGGCCTTTCAGTAGAAGCCTCCGTGACTTTTCTTCAGAGGCTGATTAGCCTCGTGGATGTGCTTATATTTGCAAGTTCTCTTGGTTTCACTGAAATCGAAGCTGAAAAAAATATGTCATCTGGAGGAATTTTGCGACAGTGTCTTCGATTGGGTAAAGTGTTAAAAGCTATTAGTTAAGAATTTCATTTAACATTTTCAGCTATCCACCCATTACAGTAAATTTTTTCTTATTTTGGGGAAGTGTATACTTACCATATTGCCATGTGCCTGCATTTTCATGCACGTAGTAGTGGCTAACACATTTGGTCCTGAGGTGGGCATAGTCAGCATGCTCCTAAGGTGATTCTAACTAACATTCACCCTCTCTGTTAACTTCTGTTTGATCTAAAATAGAGATTTTCAGATATAATAAATCATTAGAAGATCTTCTTAGAATGTCTATTCATTTTGGCTGAGGCCTAGTTTGTCTCCTGAGTACCATGAAATGCTGATTCTTTTCTCTTCCAAACACACTTCAGTAGGAAGTTTCTCAGTGGGCATCATTCAAGTACATATTTATTCCAATAAGCTAGCATAGCTTATTAAAGTATTTAACAAAATCATTAAATCTCAGTTCCTCTGGGAATAGTTCTTATTTAAGTGAAAGCAAGAATACATAGGATGACTGTTCAACTATTCAGTGTTAAGGTTTCATTAGATGAAGTAAACTCTTGGTTTTTGCATGAGATTTCCTTTCCAGGTGTAACTGTTGAGATTGACTTGCTGTGGAGAGGAAATAGTGGGTAAAGAGGGTTCAAGAAATGGAAGCAAGCCCTTAGGAACCTTGGCTTTTGTTTTTGAATCATTCAGCTTTATTTACAGAACAATGGGGATGGAGTTATTGACCAAAGCACAAAGGACTCATACTCAGTTTCTATCCTGAAATATAAAACCAGTATTTGATAAGAATTGTGAAAACAGGATACTCAAAACACACTTTACATCTCTAGGCATATTTATTGGATGAAGAACATGGAGTCTTGGTGGCTCAGTTTGTCAAATACTCTTTTGAAGTATAATTTTTCTCAGTTTGTCCATTTGAATTAAATATGCAGAATGCCACATGTTTTATTAGATATTTGAGGGCTTTAGTACACACCCTAACTAGTTTCCCTTTGAAGTGGATTATTTCTGTCTCCATGAATGTGTTACAAAACACTCTATTCTTCTGGCTTCTCCTCTGACCTTCATCTTATAATATTTGAGGGTAAACAAGTAAAAGTTTAATGAAAACTGTCTTACATTGTCACATTTTGAGAGATTCTCCCAGCATGAATAGTTGACATTACCTAAGATTTGAACATTGCATGAAGGAAGGAACCTTGGCTTTATGAAGACAGTAATCTATAAAAATAACAGCAGCAGCAATCAATTAATGAAATATTTCCCTACATTTATCAAGAATAAGGACTATAAAGTAGTAAATATCTACAATTGGATTTTTATACATGTTTCTTTAGTTAAAATGCCATTGAACATACCTTTTAGTTGATTTATAATGTTCTGAAGTAATTCGTGTACCAATTTGTGGAAATTATTTTAAAAAAATTCATATTGTACATTATAAAATAGAAGCTATTATTTTTGATGTCTGTCATTACTGCTGATATTTATATTGCAATGACAACTGTTTTGTTCTGTTGTCCATGAGGAAATTGTAGATCAAAAAATTAGGAAATTGATCTCAAACTGAAAACTATAATTAGTGCAGTTGAAATCTAAATATAGATTTGTTTGGGTAGGGCTGCTCCATCTTTAAACTTGTTAGGATTTCTAGACTGAGCTGGCTGTGTACTGTGGTGGTTGAGTAGTTGCCTAGCACTGTGAGGCTCTAGGTTCAGTCATTTGAAGTACAGCAAGACAAGCACACCATTCCTGAAGCTATTTCTGTTCAGTAGAACTCCCTAGATCATTCTTGAGGGGGCTGGAGGACATTTTGTGAAACGGGATTCAATGAAGATGAGGTTGATTTTGAACTTGTGATCCTCCTGCTTCCTCCTCCCAAGTGCTGTAATTACAGGCACATCTACCAAACATTGTTACTGCTGAGCATAGGGATCGAATCCAAAGTCTCAGCAGTGCTAGCTGAGCTGCTCTCCCAGATCTTAACCATAACAGAAAATAAAATTAGTCAATTAACACTAGGTGATAGTCTAGGGACATATTAGGAATTTACTCAAGGTAATCTATTTTGAATGAAGTGTAACAGGTATTGTATAGTGAAGGTGATTTGTATCTGTGCTGTAACCCTAAATATAATTTTCTTTTCTTTCCCAATCTTTTTTTTTTTTTAATATACGTTACAGTGTGTGCAGTGGCTGTAAGGAATTGTTTAGAGTGTCAGCAGCACTCACAGCTGAAAGCCAGAGGAGATACAGCAAAGAGCTTGAAAACAATACACAGCCTGATTCCCATGGGGAGGTCTGCAGCAAAGGTAAGGTGTGGAATCATCGGTTTCACAAAAGCATATTTGTATTCTACAATTAAGATCCTAAATAGTTTGCTCATTTCAACAGAAAGCTAAATAAATTTGACATGAATTCTAAAGTAGTCACTTTCTTCTGTCAGTATAATGTTCAAATGTTTGTGTTTAAATACATGGCAAATAATCTTGTCTGCTTTCCCAGTGCTTTCCCTTGCTGCTATGATACTTTCTTATTCAGAGATGCCAGTTTCCCCCACATGATTCTCTGCTTTCCATACCCAGCTCCCACAAAGAAAGAAAACTTACATGAAAAATTGTTATGTCATGCTTTTTTGATAGTTTACTGTGTTCAATTAATTTTTAAAAATTGCTTAATGTGTGAGTGTGCATTATTATTATTATTTACTTTATCTCAAACAGAGCCCAGTGGACATTGTGACTGGTGGTATATCTCCAGTAAGAGATCTTGACAGGCTCCTGCAAGACATGGACATTAATCGGCTTCGAGCAGTTGTTTTCAGAGACATCGTAAGTTCAAATCTTTCTTCCAAGTATTATCTTAGCTGGTACATGCTTCCTGTTGGGCCTTAAGTACTTGAAGTAGAAAGAGGTCTGTGAAATGAAATCGTTGAGTCAACAGGCAGGCCAAGAGGCCTAGTTCTTGGAACTGATCTTAGAATCTCATAATGGTAAAAGGAGTTATCTGAATAAATAGAGCTAGTCTGTCAAGGTGAAAGGGCACTGTACTGCAACACTGGACACTGCCTGTTCTTAAATGTCTCAGCATATCCAAAACCTTCCATTGTATTCAAGTGACCCGGCCAAATATTGTTGCTAGTAAATGACAGTCAGAATTCAAACCCTGTACTGTAGTCTTGCCTTCAGAATCTTTGCACTTAATGTAATAATGTACTATCTTGTAAAAGTGTATTATTTTAGTGAATATTTAGTGCTTCTTTCTCCTTTAAGGGTTTGTTAAAATTTATTAAAAGTTACATAATTAAATGTTTGTTCCATTGTGATATTTTAAATTTTTATTTGTGTTTTATTTTTGAGGTAGGGTTTTATGTAGCTCAGGCTGGCTTTCAACTCTCAGTTGCCCTCAGAGCTGTGACTATAGTCACATGACTTACTGTCTTCTTAACTTTCTAAAGATGAAAATAATTTTGGTTTTAGCAGATTTTGATGTTAAAAATTTTAAATTCTTATAAAATATAAATCTTAAAATAGAGTCATTTGTAATCTCCTTACTGTTGCGATATTATCTTTACTAAGTATTTGTTGAACGCTTGCTATATACTTTGTATTGGGTACTTTAATATGTACTTCACATGACGTTTTATGAGCATCACTTTTCTTTGTCATTTCTCTTTCTCTGGTATTTTAGTGCCCTCTTGTGTTCTTGACTAGGTCTTAGTATAAGTTTATGGTTTGGAGTGTTGTCACCGCACAGTGATTAATACCGACTGAACAGCACAGTCCCAGATGCAGTGTCCATCTTACCTCATTTATAGTCCCGTGAGGAAGATGACATTAGATTTTTTTTTTTTTTTTTTTTTTTGGTGCTAGAAGGCACATAGTAGAAAGAGGTAGAGGAAGGGAGTTAAGGATTTTTGTAATTCAATGGGATGAATAAGGACTTAGTAAGGCCTAAGTAATCAATAACTGACTAAGTAAACCATGTAAATAATTTGCCTAATCATCACATTGTCAGTAGTTATATACATGATAGGAAAGGGATGTTTAATAAAAAAGGAAAAATATACATTTATCTTTTCTACCAAGACTAAGAAACCCATACTTGCAAACCTATGAAATGTAATAGATTATTAGGAGTACTGGAAATATGTCTAAAAATTAATTCAAGCAGGCCTGTTAAGGGATAGTTTTGGTATCTAATTTTTTTCCTAACTCGGATCTAGTTCTAACAGTAGTTAGTATTTTTTAATTTAATTTTTATTTTTTGAGAATTTCATATATGAGAACAGGTGATAATTGTTCTTTAAGTTCCCATCTGTTTTCTCTGCAACTAAGCTGAAGGCCTAGGGCAAGTGCCAATTCTCTAGGGAAAATCTTCAGACTCAGAGACTTACCAAATACTTGAGATGCTTGTAACTTTAGGTATGATAGGAATATTTGATATCCTTAAATTTAAAATAATTAAGTTAAACCTTTTCTGAGGCACTATCAGACGTGATGTGTGTAACATCTTTTTGCACTGGATACAGAGGTCATTGATAGTCACATAATATTGATGGTCTTCAGTAGAGCTTGAGTAGCCACCTCTATGCCTCAGTTTAGTTTGTCCTTTTCTTTGAGGAAAATGGTTTGTATTCAGTCCTGACTTGTGTCTGTCTGTGATATTTAAAATATTCTGGAGGTTCCTTTTCCATCCCTTTCTCTGTGTGATATCTTTACTCTTTTCTCTTGGATGTTTGTTCTGAACATGCTGGGTATCATAGTGCAACATCGCTGTGATATTATTAAATTTACATGTTTGAATTTTTATGATGAGAAGTAAAAAGAATCAGTTACCTTTGTATTGTGATAATTACTATTTGAGTTGCCTTTTAAAGTAGGATCAACATTTCTCTTAAGATTGACCACTTAATTATTTTTAAAGTTGAATTGGGTTTTCTGTTTCTGTGCTTGTGTACATTTTCATTTAATGTTACTACTGCCAAGAATATGTTTGACCTTGCTCAAGTGTATTTTAGAATTATTACATTTAGTAATAAATTATTATACAAATGATACATTATTTTCTGTGCACATTGAGAGATTTGTGAACATCTTTTATATTTAAATATCGTAATGTGAAGCAAGATTAAAATGTTAATAGTGGCATGAACAGTTGCTTTTTTTTTCTCCCTCAGGAGGATAGCAAGCAAGCTCAATTCTTAGCTTTGGCTGTTGTGTACTTTATCTCTGTTCTTATGGTCTCAAAGTACAGAGACATTTTGGAACCCCAAGATGAAAGACACAGTCAGTCTCTTAAGGAAACTGGTAGTGATAATGGGAATGTATCACTTCCTGGTAAGTCTCCATGTTTTATTTTCTGGTACTCAAAGTTCAAACAAAGCTTTACTGGTTTAGACCCTGATTCTTGAAACTTTGTGTAAAGTGAGACCATAGCATTACATTTACCAAGAGCAAAATATTTTAACTATGTTTACTAATAACTCTTTAATTTATATATTGTATAATTATTTCAATTGGGAGATGAGTTTTGCACTGTAAGTGGTCCATTCAGTTTAAAGATGAGAAAGTGTTATTCCTAATAAGTAAAGAGTACAAATTTTTACTTTTGTTTGTTGTGAAGGGTAATTCAGTCTTTTACAACAGATTTCTAGGAAATTGTTTACACAATTAATAGTGATCACTATTGTTTTAAAAGTAGCTTTTAGCTAGGCAGTGGTAGCACATGCCTTTAATCCTAGCACTTAGAGGCAGGAGGATCTCTTGAATTTGAGGCCAGCCTCTTGAGTTCCAAGACAGCCAGGGCTACACAGAAAAAGAAATCCTGCCTGGAAATACAAAAACTAACCAACCAAACAAATGAAAAGGAGCTTTTAGTTACAGACATATAGTTAGATAAACAGCTTTCATAGTTACAGAACTAGCTGCGTTGAGAGGAGCGGGCATTCCACCCCCTGTAGGTTTTTATTCAGTATGTATTAGATTGTTGTATTCATGTAGATTTGAACATGCGAGAAGGAAAAGACTCCACCTTTCTGGAGCTTATCTTTGGCAGGAGGAGACAGAAAATATTTTTTAATAGACAAATTTTATGGTATTTTAGAAGGCAATGAAAGTGATAATAAATAAAATGTCAGGCATGACAGGAGAGATGCTTTATGGACTTTTCTTTAAGAGAAATGAGCAGTCATTGGAGTGTTGAATACAAAGTTATTACTGACATGTATTTTAAAAATAACACTCTGGGGCCAGTGTTCAGCTGATAAAAGCATTTGCCATGCAACCCTGATGATCTGAGTTCAGTCCTCCAGAATCCATAATGAAAGGAGAGAACTTACTCTGTATATTTCACTCTGTATTCCACATGTGCACCATGGCATGTGTGCACTATGATTCAATTGTGTGTGTGTTTATATCATATGAACATTATATATATATATATATGTGTGTGTGTGTATGTGTATCATGTGAACATTATAAATATAGAAACAACAATAAAAATAAAATTTGATAAATTTAAGTAACACTGGATTCTGTGTTGAGAATACACCTCAGAGGAGAAGGAAAACCAGTGTTTAGTTCTGCGCTGCCATGTGACATAGTACATTGAAACTTAGTAGTTTAAAACTACAACATTCTTCATATTGTATAATTTCTGTTGGTGTCATCTGAATATAACATGGTGGGAATGTTCATTCCTGCTCAGATGTTTCCTAAGACTGAGATTAAGATGACTTTTCTGCTGTCTAGTGCCTCAGCTGGGAGGGCTCTGGGCTGAGGTTGGCTGATTGTAGCAGTGTTATGTTGGGGGAAGGTCTTAATTCTTATGGTAACTTAATTCTTTGTTTTCTTTCATTTCTTTGAAAGAGTTTTCTATTTTCATGTAGTGTTTCTCATTAAAGTAGAAGTCAGTTAAATTTCTTAACAGAGCCAATTTGGATTCTGGTAAAGTCAAGTCTGGCAGGCTTTATTAAAACTCAGCTTTGGAACTGGCTGTTATTTTGGATTCTATTCTTTTAGATAAGGATTCTATTGAACTAGCTCAAACTGAGGGATTTCTTTTTTTTGGTTTTTCGAGACAGGGTTTCTCTGTGTAGCCCTGGCTGTCCTGGAACTCACTCTGTAGACAAGGCTGGCCTCGAACTCAGAAATCCGCCTGCCTCTGCCTTGCAAGTGCTGGGATTAAAGAAAGGATTTCTTAAATACCAGAAGTTATGAGACACTAGGATCATTAAATCAGTTGCCTTCCACTACCATTTATGGGCATAGTGTAGTAATTCACTTGATGTGATGACTTGATGGGCTTGGGTTGTTGTGTCCACACAGATATCTAGAGGCAATCAGATTCAGGATATATTTGGGTGACAGAAGAACAACAGTATTTCTGAATATTAGTGTGGGTATTTTAAAAAGAAAAGATATTCAATAATTACTATAAAATAACGAGTAGATTGAAAGTAAAGTATTTCAGTTTTCAACCTGTTGACTTTAGATATTTTGACATACAAGATATAGATAAAGTAGTGAGATAACAGTCAGTGTATTATACATATGTATGATATTATATTTGCTCCTTTTGTGTGTACGGTGGAGTTGTGGTTGTCAAGAGGTGTGGGATCACTAAGGGAAAATAACGTAGATGGAGGTGGCGAGAGAACCAAGGACTGAAAGGCTCATGGATTGACTTCTAAGTTCTTTGAACCTGGTAAATCAGGGAGGATGTTGAAGAGATCACTGAGAAACCATTGGTGAAGTGGTATAAGAAAAAATCCTAGGAGTCAAGGGAAGAAAGAATTATCAAAGTATAGAGGACATCCACCATCTTGCTGTACTGTCAAGTGCTATTAGAGGACTGATCATTAAATTTGGCAAGGTGTACTTTTTAGTGAACTTGAAAAGAACATGTTGGTTGGAATGGTTGGAAGTTTGATTGATCAGAGAGCAACATTACACAGCAACGTGGAGTTGCTTGGGTTGGGAATTTAGCCAAGTTGATAGAGTGCTTGCCTAGCATGTATGAAGCCCTGAGTTTGATTCCCCAGCTCCTCATCATCTGGTCGTGGGGGCACATATCTGTAATCTCAGTAATCAAGAGATGGAGGGAATAAAAATCAGAAGTTCAAGGTCTTTCTTAGATTAATAGCAATCTTGCACTATGTGGCCCTGTCTTAGTAGGGATGGGTATGCTCCTTGCTGAGGCAGATCATCAGCAGTATTGATTTATTCTGTATATGGGAGAGGTTGGCCTCCTTTTCCAGCAGTGGAAACTGTTTGAGGTAGAAGTTTTTACTTTATGCACTGTTGGCATTCTACTTTGTTTTATAATCCATGCTTATGTTACAATTACTTCTGAAGGCCGATACAGGTAGTTATTATTTATTCATTTTATCATCTAACTTTAGTTATGAGGCACATGCCCTCATTATATTTTAAAGTTTATGTAATAACTTTTGATTTTGAGGGAACATGACACAAAATCCTAGATGGCTACTGAGACTTTAATATACCTTTATAAAAAATTAGTTCTTGATTTTTTAATTTACTTTTCTGTTTTTGTTTAAGATGCAGAAAACACACTAGCAGAATTTAGCTCTTTAACTCTGTCATCTGTGGAAGAATCATTGGAAGGCACCTCATCTACTCGAAGGAGGGACTCTGGCCTTGGTGAGGAAACAGCTTCTGGCTTAGGAAGCAGTATGTCTGTAGCTTCTCCAGCAGCACCTCTGGGTGTCAGCGCGGGTCCAGATGCCATCAGTGAGGTGCTGTGCACTCTTTCTTTGGAAGTCAATAAATCTCAGGAAACAAAAATTGATGGAGGAAACGAGTTGGACAGGAAGGGGACACCATCAGTCTCAGTTTCAAAAAATGTCAACGTGAAGGACATTCTCCGGAGCTTGGTTAATATGCCAGCAGATGGAGTCACAGTGGATCCAGCCCTTCTGCCCCCAGCCTGCCTCGGTGCTCTTGGAGATCTGTCTGTTGACCCACCCGTGCAGTTCAGATCCTTTGACAGGTATGCAAGTAGTCCTTTGTTTCTGTATGCTTATGTTTGCAAATTGTCAAGGTAAACAGAAATTCAATATGAAAGTCTAAATTTTGTGGCTTCAACATTAGAGTGGAATGTTTCATTCTAATTTATAAAATATATAAGGATACTTTTGTTGTATGTGCAATATTCTTAAGTATTAACATTTTCTATGCCACTAATATTACTTTAGGTATAGTTTTAGTAGGGCATTAGCACACTGTATGTAAAAATGCCATTTCTTTACCCTTTTTCCTTCTTTCCCCTTCCTTTTTTTTGGTGTGTGTGTGTGTGTGTGTGTATGTGTGTGTGTGTGGTTACGCTTTTGACATTACTTGAACTTACAGTGGTTATCCATAAGTTTTTGCTACCAGTATTATATCATCCTTTATGAAAACAATAACAAAATATGTTGGAATCAAGATGCTAGTAGATACAAGACTTCAACTAGGTGTTCTGAGCCTGGAAAATTTGAGAAAGCTAACTACAGAATCTTGTTGATTATGTAGCCCTAAGGGTTTTTTGTTGTTGTTGTTATTGGTGGTGTTGTTGTTTTTTTAATAGATTTATCTGTTTTCTAACTATAATCAGTTTATACGTGTTGCCTAGGATGCTGTCCAAGGCCCTTCAGCATTGCTAGGCAGGTGCTCTACTACCAGCTCTAATATGTTAGTCTGTTTATTGTTAGTCTGTCTTTATGTTTTATAAAGTTTCTTGTCTTTATATTATGTTAGTCTGTCTATATATTGTTAGTTGTCTTTATATTTTATAAAGTTTCCTTTTGTTCTACTTCCAGCATACAGTTATTGAATGAACACTTTTAAAAATTAGTAATTTTGTGAATTAGTAAACTTATAAACAGAAAAGTTCCTACTACAAAATTTTCATTTTTCTTGAGACATTAAATTGATAATATAATATTTAGATGTGCTTTAATACATTCTGTGTTTTCTATATAAGTATACTCTTATCTTTAAATAAGAAAATTGAAATTGATATAATACTGTTTAAAATTTAAAATACTAAATATATTATCTAAATTTCTTTAAGCTTATTTACTTATTTGTATTTTTCTTTCACAGCTTTTCATGTATATAATACACTCTGATTATCCCTGCCTTATTTTCCTATTCTTGTGCCCAGCTCCCATTCAACCCCTCTTCCCAGCAAGCAGCTTTCCTACATTGATTTTTTTTATGCTTCACTGCCTGTATTCATTTATTTAAATTATATATGTCTGTGTGTGGATATGTACCCATGAATGGCGGGAGCCTGTGGAGCCCAGAGGATCCCCTGAAGCTGAAGTTAAAAGCAGTTGTGAGCCAACTGACATGCGTGCTGGGAACTGAACTCTGGTTCTTTATAAGAGCAGTACATGCTGTTAATCACTTCTTCAGATGCTTCTCTACACACATTGTATATAATTAGGATTGAATGACAGTCTTAAGTCAAATGATGCAGTTTGAGATTTTGTCCCTCAAGTCTTTGAATGTTCCTGAGCTTATATTTATCTATTGTTGCCTTAGAATTAGATTGACATTAGTATATTTTTGACAGACATATTACAGAAGCAACAGCTTCTTCGTGCATCTTGTCCAGTGGTGTATGTATGGTTTTGTCTTAATTTAGCTCACTCTGGTCAAGGAATACAGTCATATGCACCAAGTCTCTCTACTATTATGGAATTCCTTAGGACTAGAGGTTATAAAATTTATCACTTTATCATTCATTTGTGTATTTAAGGTTTTCTGTTTTATTTTATGGTTTCTAATATTAGAGGCTTCTACATATTAGATTATGTAATAACATATTTCTCATTAGTCCTTGTCCTCTATTTCTTCATCTTTTGTAAATAGTGTCTTACTATGTTTCTAGGACAGCATCAGATGACACAGCTCACAAGGTTGTATACTATAGACACTTAAACTCATGGTAGTCCTTTTTACTTGGTCAAGACTGGAATTATGGGTGTGATCTACTGTGCCCAGATGAAAGTCAACTTAAATTTGTGCTAGTTTTAATAATAAATAATTTGGTGGCTAAATACTCTAATTAATTGTCTTATTAATATACTTAAATTTTTCATGAATGACCAAAACTTTTTTATTTTCTTTTTTGATAATGCTGAAATTAAATCTCTTCTCTCAATATCTTAAATGAGATTACACGTTTACTTAGGGATTCCGGCTTAGGTACTGTACTTTAAAAGGTTTGTTAAAGTAAGAAAAAACCAATAATTTATGTGGTAGCTTTTTTTCTGGATATTCTGTGGAACTTAACATGTCTGGTATGCATTTAACATATTGTCTGATGAATACAAACTCTTCTATCTCTCCCCTGTCTTTTTTCTTAGCAGGAGATACCTTTTAAAAGACCTCTTTTTTTTTTTTTTTTTTTTTCAGCCATAGGGCAATGGAGTGTCTTTGGGAATTTCAAAGCATCCCTCTGATCATGTGTTTATCTCAGGAATGCTGTGCCAGAAATCAGAACTCTCCTCATATCTTAAGAATTATCAACTCCCAAGCAATAGCTGGGAAGTTTAGTGTAACAGCTACGTGAGTGAGCCTTGCTGAAAGGTTGCCAGCTTTGGTCTCGGTGAAAGGGAAGGTGTTAGTGTTCATTCCCATGCCAAGATTCTTGCTCTTATCTAATTGGAAGATCCTTGCTGGCGATTAATGGATGCCAGGGATTTATCTTGATAAAGTTCAAGGGCTGGTCTGTGTTTTCAACTGAATCCTTAGGGACTAAAGTACTCTGTCAAAAAAGTTTTTTCTTTTTTTCTTTAGTAAACCATTTTCATGTTAAATAAAACAGCAATGTGAAGGTTTGTGATAGTTTGAACTAATACAATTTTGAAATGAAAATCCTGAAACTTGTCTGGTATCTATTATTGCTTTATTTGTGGTTATTACTAATTAATTTTTGGGAAAACCTTCAGACTACCTAATTCAGGAAAAATCAAGAAAAATAACAACAAACATGATTTTCACTTGCTATAACTGTAAAAAATACTTCCTAAAAAAATCTGTACACTCTGAGTGTGACTGTAAAAGTACTTCCTAAAGAATCTGTACACAATGAAGCAAATGCTGAGTATTCTAAATGTTCACTGAAGTTAATGAGTTCATAAAGATAATCTATGAATAAACTTTTCACTTTAATATCTGGGTTTTAATTGACATTTTGAAAAACTAGCTGGTGCAGTTGGTTTTTTGTTTTCTATATTCTTTATGACAAAATGCTTTAGTTATAATTAATATTATTCAAAATTCAGATAATTACTTGCTTCTTAAACATTAAGACAGATTTCGAGTTCATTTTTTTAAGTAGAAGCTTAAGGCTTAGGGTATAGCTCAGTGGTACAGCTTGTGCTTAGTCTGTGCAAGATCATGTGTTGAAAACCCAGCATAAGAGGGAAAAAATAATGAGTTGGGGATGGCAGAGTTTAAAAAAGCTCTATGCTTTTACATTTTTCTATTTTTAAAAGAGAATACAAAATCTTTTGTTTTTACATAGCTAATTTCCACTGAAGAGTGATAAGGTTATATTTTTAAGTTATCTCTTCAAAATGTAGACTGTACTTTCCTAGTTTAGATTTATGCTGACAGGATGAACAAAATGAGCTAAATATCTCTTCTCATGAAGATTCTAGTCTTTACACTGAAACTTTATCATAGTAATAAAATGAAAACGTCCCACATGTACATATTATTTATTGCATTTTTAATTAGATCATGTGATTTTGGGTTTTATTTTAATCTGTCTGGCCCAGAGCTTTAGCAGCATTATGTTACATTTTAGAACTGATTTGAATCAGGTTATGCATTTAGAAATTATTAATTAATTATTATACTAATTAATACTTACTATAAACAGCAGGGGAGAAAACATGATCACAGAGGTGATTCTCCCAGTGCCAGTGTTATTCATTGCTCTGCAGATGTGCTGACTCCTGATATTTCCCCAAATGTGGGAAACTTGATTGCATAGTTTCTGGTAGTGAGGGGCTGTTTTCACATTCTCCCCTATTAATATTAAAGAATAGAAGGAAAACTTTATTTTTCTATTCATTATCAGATATATTTTATAATTTAATGGTGGTATATGCATAATTTCTTATCTGGATAATCTTCATTTATATGCTGTGTAGATAATTATAGTGCATATATATTCATGAATATGCTAGCTGGAGAACTCAGTGAACATATTGGAAACAATTTACTTGTATGCTTTGTGTGCATGAATTATATGGCAAGTAAATTATAGCTTAATAAAACTTTAAAACAGTTCATTGTAAGGCAATGGCTCAATCGCAATCTGATTTTAGGCATATGTAGATTTGTGGTAGATCCTGAAAATTTGTTTTAACAAGTCCCTTAGTTAGAGTTTCATTGCTGTGAAGATCCATCATTACCAAAGAAACTCTTATAAATGAAAAATTTTAAATTTAATTCAGGCTGGCATACAATTTCAGAGGCTTAATCTGTTATCATGGTAGAAAGCATGCCAGCGTCCAGGCGGACAAGGTTCTAGAGAAGGAGCTGAGAGTTCTACATTTTATTTATTTATTTCATGTATGTAATTTATACTGTCGCTGTCTTCAGACATTCCAGAGGACGTCATTTGATACCCATTAGAGATGGTTGTGAGCTACCATGTAGTTTCTGGGAATTGAACTCAGGACCTCTGGAAGAGCACTCAGTGCTCTTAACCTCTGAGCCATCTCTCCAGATTGGAGTTTGGCATTTTAATCTGCAGGCAACAAGGAGGAGACTGCATGTGGTTGACACTGGGCATAGCTTGAGCATTTAAGATCTCAAAGCCCACAGTGACACACTTTTTCCAGTAAGCCCACACCTTCTAATAGTGCTGATCCCTATGGCCAAGCATTCAAACACATGAATCTCTGGTGGCCAAATCGATTCAAACTACCATAATAAGTTATTTTATCTTTCTGAGCTTGTCTTAAAAATTTTAAAAATGTTTTAAAAAGGTATTTGTTGGTACATATCTATAATCTTAGGAATTGTACAGGGTGAGGGCAAGATGGTGGAGGAGCAGGAATTCAGGGCTCTGGCTTCAGATACTTTTTGTATTTTTTTCTCCCAGTTATTATTATTAGTTTTTAAAATGAAATTAGTGTATACCTTAACAACGTTTTTCAAAATGAGCTACAAATTTTTGAGAATAAGTGCAAAAATGTGGGGAGTAAATATTTACTAAGATGAATAAAAGAATGCTATTTTTCACTTTTCTAAGTATTATTTATAATATGCTAAATGTTTAAAACCCAAATCAATGTTTTGCTGTGTTTTAATTTGCCCTGTACAAATAATGATTGTACATGTAAAGGATCAGATATGAAGTGTAATATTTGATGAGCTTTGATCAGTGTATGTACTTTATTACACAAAACACCAGTCAGTGTTCTCCCTTAGTACCTAATCCCTTTTTCTGTCCCCACAGGAAATTGCTATTTTAACTTTTTACAAAAAGCATTTATTAGTTTTCCTTCTCCAAAACTCTTTTTAAAAAGAAAGTAAAGAGTATTTTCTTAAACATAGGCTTCCTTAATTTATTTTGACAAGTGTCTTAGTTAGGGTTTCATTGCAGTGAAGATAGTACCTTTGAGATTCAGCCATACTGTTAAGTTTATTAGCACTTTGTACTGTACTGTACTGTACTGTACTGTTGCATTATGGTATTCTACTGTATAAGTACTCACTGTTTAAAAACTTCATTTTTCTGTATGAAGGACACTTGATCAATTTCTAGTTTGACCCAGCTACTCTAAAGCATCTGCAAACATAACTGTGTTATGGATATTTATATTTTCTTGAGCAAAGTCCGAAGGTATAGTTAGTTGTTGGGTCATAAGTTAAATGCTTGTCTAAAGTTTGATTACAGAAGTAGATTTTTTTTCACTGCCTTGAATTGAATAAAGGACCTCAGATGTATTAGACAAAGTGCTGTACCACTGTCTTCCCATAATTCACTAATCTAAATATTATTCTCCCATAAGTATATCTGTTGTATGTATGAAACAGATTGTGGTGATTCTTTCGTGAACAAATGTAAAAGTGAATCATTCATATTTTCATTTTTTACCTAATTGTTAGGACATGAAAATTTTTCTTACATTTTAACATATAAATTTCTGGCAAAACATGCAAATATTATATTTGTATTGTTTTCTGAGGGTACCATCAGCACATATGTATGTGTACATGTATGTGCACACATACACAAGGTCATATCCACCTCTTTTTGTGTCAGTGATCTTTCTCTGATATAAACTATCATGATTTAAGCACACCATATTGGATTGGGGGCTCAGGTGGCTGTTGCTTCTATTTTTTAGTATATAGTTAACATTGGCAGTCACCCTTATAATGATGTGACACCAGCTACCCCCAAGTACATTGAATAAGCCTTGCCTAGCACAAGATAACTTGATTTAATTGGCAACAGTATTTGCCCTCAAATGATAGTCAGTGAAGTAAAACGGAACCTATTTCACTTTGTTCCTTTTTTTTTAAAATAACAACAGATATGTATTTTTAAAATAATGAAATTACATGCCTTAGAAAGTATGAATACATTTATTAGGACAAAGTATCTAAGTAACTTTGTTTAAAAATCAGATACTTTAAAGCTATTAAGGGAATACTTTCAGCTTACAGTATTGTCAACAAAAGACGTGATTAAATAAATTGAATGTTGAGGACTTTAAGCTTATGGTTAACACCGGGTAATTAAAAGTAAGAGCTGCAGTGGGAGTACATTATATATCAGCTGTCCTTTACCTCATTAACTGGGGTTTTGCATGTTTATGGAGCTAACTTCAATTAAAAATGCCTTTTAAGTTGTGTCTAACAAGATCTTTTAGTTACTCTTTTAGTATAAAGACACTTTAATTGAAATCGGTATATCATAAATACCTGTGTTTGAATCGTATACAATATGAACAACTGGTTATTTGGTACTTTGGCTGTTTAAAAAAAATGTCCATTGTTTTCCGTGTGATATGATCAAAAGCTATTGTGTTTCATGAGCTATATACATGTATCCATTACTTGTATAGATATTGCTTTTTCTTTTAAGAGAGTTATGATTTTAAGTTAGCAGTGCTTTAAATTTCTTATTAGAACATACTGAGTTTTCTGCATCAGTTGTGAAGTTTTTAAAAAAGTTTATTTCTTGTCCTCATCAATTCCAAAATTCTCTCTTTTCCCCCCAAAATTCTCTCTGATTGTGTTTATTAGAAAAATGAAGATGGTCTTAAATTAAAAAAATTCTAGTGTAAATGTTGGTTAAAATGTTAAAATGAATTATTTTTATAGGATATTGTCTTAGTTTTAAAAACAATGAGGCTGAAGAGATAGGTTGTCAGTAAAGTGTTTGCTGTGAGAGGATCTGGGGTTGTCCTTATCTACAAGCTGTCTGTGTAGACGGGAGGGTGGGGGGGAGGTGACAAGGATGGCTCAGAGGTTAAGATCACAGGATGCTCTTCCAGAGGATCTGGGTTTGATTCCCAGCACCCACGTGGCAGCTCACAGCTGGCTGTGACTCCAGTTCCAGGGGATCCAATATCCACTTTCAAACTGCATGGGTCCCAGCCACACATAGTACAGACAGAATATTCATATGCATTAGATATAAACAACTAAAAACCTTGGATGTGATGTGCTCTTTTAAGTTCGGGCCTGGGGAGACAGAATCCTGTGGTCCTTGGGATTCACTAGTTGGTCAGCCTAGCCTACTGAACAGTTCTGCCCAGTGGCAGACCCTCTCTCAAAAACAAGATGGTGGGTGCCTGAGGAATAACATCCAAAGTTGTGGTCTTGTTTATGCATGCAGGCTCTGTCTGTCTCTTAATCCCTCTCTCTCATCCCCTCCCTCCTCCTTCCTCTCTAAAAGAGAAAAAGGTATGTAAATATGGATAACTTTGAGGAGATTTTAAGTAGTAAGGATATTCTAAAGAATATATCAAAATAAGGTAGCTAGAAAATGAACCTTAGCTTCTTTTTATTTTTAAATGCATATAATTAAGTAATTTATATTTTAAAACCTTTATTACAGAAGTGTCGTCATTGCAACAAAGAAATCATCAGTCTTAGCTCCCACCCTTACTACAAGTGCACCTAGTAATGCTGTCAGTGTGGTTTCTTCAGTAGACTCCACCCAAGTCTCAGATGCAGGAGGAGAGTCACCAGGTGAGTTAGGTGTCAATGAAGTCAACAGAATTTCTAGATATTTTAGCAAATCTTAGGGTTTTGTGATAAAACCAAGAAGTTTGAAAGGTGCTTTAGAATCTCTGTGCTTTTGTGTTTTACTGTTGATTGTTTACTAATATCGTTGTGTTTACAAAACTACTATTGATTGTTTACTAATATTTCCAAAAATCTGAGTAAAAATTAAAAAATAAAATCAGGGCTGGAAACTCAATTCAGGTGGTGCATACTGGGTCCCAGTTCAATCCCTAGGGCTGCATGAATCATGGTGCACATACCTGTAAACCTAGCACTTCCAAGGTAGAGGCAGATGATCAGAAAATCAATGTTGTCTTTGTCTATATAGTGATTTAAAGACCTGCTTCAGCTGTATGAGACCTGTCTCAAAAAAAAAAAAAAAAGAAAAAAAAAGAAAAGAAAAAGAATTCAGTATTGTTCCACTTCAGCTTAATACATTATAGTGTATTAAAGGTATGAATGGCTACATGCTTGATAGAATTATAAGAATATACATGTATTTTTCTTTTATCTACCTTGTTGTTCTTGAGAAAGTATAGAGAAGAGTATACATCAAAATGTTTTGATGACATAAACCTCTAAATGTAGTTAATGATTGTTAAATGCATATCTACTTATATACTTCTTTGTTTATTTTTTCTGAATTAGAATCTTGTAAAATACTTGATGCTCTCAAATGGTTTGTCATTCTCGTACTAGCCACTGTGGCACACAGTTTTTTTTTTTTAAAACGGTAATCTTATTTTATCCAGCTTTCATCTCATACTTCTTTTTGACTATAAAAGCATATTAACGAATGAATATTAGAGCTTAAATCCCTCTATGTTAGCTGAAGGTTAGAGATGATAAGTAAAACTTGAAGGATGCGGTATTAAGAGAGTCAAGTAGGATGCTGGGAGATGACTTAGTTGGTCAGGTGCTTGCTTCTACAAGCAGGAGGACCTCAGTTGGGATCCCTAGCACACAAGTAAAAAGCTGTGTCCAGTGGTGCTTCCCTGTAATTCTGTCACTGGGGAGGCAGAGATGGGAAGATCCTGAGGTTTTCTTGTAGCTAATATTGCTGAGTTAGTGAGCTTCAGGTGCAATGAAAATGTTTTCAGTCTGAAAAATAAGGTTGAAAGCAATTAAGATAGACCTGACATTGACTTCTGACCTCCATGTGTACAAGCATGGTCACTTAAGAACCCACAAACACAGGTACCAAACAAGCAGTGTAAGTAACACCTAGGAAAAGGAAACATCTTACACCACTGATACCGTGTAAGAGATCGTGCTGTTTCATAAACATAGTAGCAAGGTGCTAGAACTTCAAAGGTGGATTAAAGGATCAGAAGTAATTATTTTTCTTATTTTGGGACCACTTATACAAGCGTCTGCTTTCCTACTTTTATTTGGCTAACTAGTTGGTCTCTGAGAGTTTTGATGTTACTTGACTAGCCACAGTCAGCCCCTGGATGACTTTGTTTTGTCTTATGTTTAACAAAATAAATATAATTATTTCTCTAATCTTTCTGTTTTTCTTTTGAGACTAAGTCTCATTTGATCTTTGCCCAATTTGATCTTGAATTCACTATGTAGCTAACAGTGAATCAAAATTTGTGATCCTTATGTCTCTGAATCCTAAATGCCACTGGTTGCCACCACACTTGGTTTATGTGGTGGTGGAGAGAGAGTCCAGTGACTTACCTGTGCTAGACAAGCATTCTACCACACTTACCTGTCTACCCACCCTACTTTTTACTTTTATTTTACTTGTCTTAACAAAATTTTGTTTTTCCTTTTCTTTTTTTTTCTTTTTTTTTTTTTTTTTTTTGGTTTTTCGAGACAGGGTTTCTCTGTGTAGCCCCGGCTGTCCTGGAACTCACTCTGTAGACCAGGCTGGCCTCGAACTCAGAAATCCGCCTGCCTCTGCCTCCCAAGTGCTGGGATTAAAGGTGTGTGCCACCACCGCCTGGCTACGAAATTTTGTTTTAAAGTTTGAAATGCAGTTAATTTTTAGAAAGTTCATAGCATTTAAATGTAAGAGGAAATGTTCATAGTATGTTAAAGAAAATCAGTACTTTATTTAATAGTAACTGTGTTAAGTATATGACTTCTGTGTATGGTAAAAGTGAGTCAGCACATTTCAAAGTTACTTGATAAATTTCATACAGTTGTACTACTGGTTCTCATATACTGTTGTGTCTTGCACATCTAATGCCTGATCTTCACACACTTGTGCTTGAGTTTCTGGTGTATGCCATCGTGCCCTGCTTCTCTGCTACGACTACACATTTGATTCCTCTTTTTAGAATTTACTTTTAGGGTCTTTATTATTATTATTTTTTTCTTTTTAAGCTGAGGACCAAACCCAGAGCCTTTTGCCTGCTAGGCAAGCACTCTCTTACCTCTGAGATGAATCTGCAACCACTGGTATTTTCTTTAAGAATTCATGAGAAGTACACATGTTGTTTTCATACATAGAAAACAGTAGGTATTAAGTTAAAAATTCCACCTGGAAACCCAAAGTTGTAATAGTATTGCATTATGTGGTTTAGGGTATTATTTTATCAAAGCAAAAAGATTCAGTAAACTGAACTGACTAAAACTCTGTCTCCCAAGTGCCTGGACCTAAGCTCTTCTTTACCTGAAACTTGCTGTTTACCAGGCTGTCCTTGAACCCAGAGATCTGCTTGTCTTTGTCTTTTGGGATTAAAGGTATGTCTGTATTCCAGCTGAATCACACAGACCTAGAAGGTCTTTGGATGTGATCTCTTGCCAGAGAAGCCATGTTGCTGGATTAAAATTCCTCTACATAACATGTTTTCGTATGTTAATATTCAATACTCTTTTTAAATATGATATCACTTTTTTCTGTGGTGTTGAAAAGTATAAATAATGAAGACAAAATTGGAACTGTCTCAGCAGTGGAACCAAGTGCAGCATTCTTTAGGCATTTGTATACCAAGTGCTTGCTATTTTGCAAAATCTAGCATCAGTCTTGGCTCTATATAACATTAAGACTAAGAGGTTTATCTTTATTCATTTACTAAGAAAAGCTTCCTTTCTTTTTGAATATTTTTTATGCATTATAGAGTATCTCTTGCAAGACAGACAGTCAAACACAGACTATTCACTTACATGCACGTGTAGCAGCATAGCAGTGCTTAGTGATTAAAAATTGTAACTTGATTTAATATTTTTTTTTTTTTGGTTTTTTTGAGACAGGGTTTCTCTATGTAGCCCTGGCTGTCCTGGAACTCACTCTGTAGACCAGGCTGGCCTCGAACTCAGAAATCCACCTGCCTCTGCCTCCCAAGTGCTGGGATTAAAGGTGTGTACCACTACTGCCTGGTGATTTAATGATTCTTTACTGTAAGGAGCATTAGTTATGTAGATCCTTAGGGAACTTGTATAAATAATATTTTACTCCCTGCATAGATGCTAGATGGAGGGTCTATTTACAGATATCTGGAAAACTGTCCGTTTGAAAGAGCCAGGTTATCAGTGCATAGATAAGAAAAACTCTGGTCTATGCCTTCCACATGTTGGAAGAAGCCTTTGCATTTACATGTGTGATGATCTGTTGGGAATGTTAATGTTAATCTGAATCAAATTTATCACAAATTTATATTTTCAGTTAAAATGCATAATTACATATTTTTTCCTGATGGTATTAATGGCAGTCTCATGTGACGTTGTTGGTATATTTGATTTTTCTATTTCTTTATTTTTTAATATTGCTAGTTAATTTTTTATCTTTGTTGTTTAAGTGTCCTATGCTTTAAAGATTTATTTTTATTTTTACTTATATATGTGTATGTGTCTGTGTGTGTATTCCAAGTGTGATGTGTTTGGGTGCTTGAGGAGGCCAGAAGAGAGTGTTGAACCCCTGGGACCAGAGTTACAGTGGAAGCTGCAGGTATACACGGCTGTGGACTGTCTGTTTGATATGGTGCTGGGGCCCAAATTTGAGTCCTTTAGAAGTGCTCTAGATTGTTGAGCCATCTCTCGACCCCCAAGTCCCATGAGTTAAAAGATCATTTTGTAAAATTCGTTTTACTATATTTACTATTAGGAAAGAATATTGGCTTTTTTTTTCAAGTGCAGTGTTAGGAAATAACTTTTGTCATTGTTTTATTTGGAACAAATAGTATTTCTATTCTGAAAAATAAAATCCTGCCCTCCCCACCCTCTGAATTTAATGTAAGGCCTGTGTGTGCAACGCAAGTGCTCTACCACTGAACTGTTCCTTACCACTCTTTTTCCTTCCCTCCTTCCCTTCTTCCCTGCCTCCCTCCTTTTCTTCATGCCTCTCACCTTCTCCCCCCCCCCCATCTGTCTTTTTTTCTTTCTTTTGTAATGGGTTTATTTGGTACAAGAGTATAGGGAGATAATTCTGCTTATTGTTAAGCACCAAGGAACAGTCTGCAAAGGTCCTTTCACAAGTGTGAATGTTGGAAAGGGGGTGCTATAGATGATTGTTGCTGCTGATGGTGGCTGGTTCCAAGTCCCAGCTTGTATGTATGCCTGAGCTTTTCTCAGTTGAAGACTGTTGTCAAATAGGAACCGTTGACTGATTTTCAGGGTCTCTTGGCTGTATTTACTAAGGCTTTGACTTTTTCAGATTCTTTTACATTCATATATTTTTGAAGGTCTCTCTTATCCTCCCGACAACATTCATTCTATAATTATAGAATTATGTATTCTATACATATAACCGTAATGTTTGTTCTCTCAGCATTTTCTGGTATATTTCTAACACTTGGGTATACCTGGAGGCTGCCATTGAAGAAAGGAAACAAACAAATAACAGAAATACCAAAAAAAGAAATGGCTAGTCTTAGTGGAAGTCCCAAGTTCAACTGAACCCAAATTTCAACTGTTGGAGAACCCACATTTGAAACCAAATGCAGGAGCTATGCCTTGCTAGCTGGCCCAGCCTGGGAAGCCTCCAGTAAGCCAGAGATTCAGACCCTGTCTCACTTTTTAAAAATGCATTTCAACTCGTCAAAGTTGAAGTCAGAGCTGGGAGTATAGCTCAGGGCAATCTTGGGTTCAGTCTTTAGTGACACTTTTAGTTAGGAACTGGGAATTTTGGTGGCTCATGCCTTTAATAGCAGCATTTGGGAGGAGAGGCAGATGGCTCTTTGAATTCTAGGCCTGTCTGGTCTATAGAACAAGTTCCAGGACAGCCAGAACTACATAGAGAAACCCAGTGTCAAAAAACTAAGATAAATAAATGAGTAAATAGACACATAATTAAATAAGCGGTATCAGTTAACACAGTCAAAAGATAATCTTGCTGTATAATTTTTGCCTAAATATATTCTTTGGATTTATTTCATTTTTATTTTTCACATTTAAGTAGATAGGTATTTATGTCTTTCTCTTTATTGATGTCATAAAAATTTAGGAAGAACAATGAATTTTAGAGAAAATAGCTGATACATTCAAAGTATATAGTCTTTTAAAATACTACCACTTGTCAAACAATGCGCAAGAAAAGTTAATTAATTAATTTATTTATTAGGTCTTATTATATAGCACAGGTTGGCCTCCAACTTCTAATCTTCCTGGTTCAGGCTCCAAAGTATTGTGATTACAGACATATGCCACCACACCGTCTTGACAAATATTTTATTAATCAATTATAATAGAAGTCAGTGGCCAGCAGTTTTTCAAGAACCAATTTTACTGTCAAGAATGTAGCAAATGGGGGTAGGGGTGTAGTTTATTTAGTAGACTACCTATTTAGCTGTGTAAGGAATAAATTTTTATTTTGGATATAGTAAGGTAGAAACAAAGGGCTTTCCAGAAGTAGGAGAATTGCTATTTTTTTCAGCTGAGTTCTTTTGCTGTGTGACCTCATGTAAAGTGCTTGTCAATGTGTTCTAACTAGATGTAACTGATACTCTTGTTTTAAGTTGGCTTAAGCCCACTGCAGTAAAGTAGAAAGCACTTGGTAACCAGTGGCATGCCAGTCACAAACTTTATTACAAGATTAGAGATTGTGTTCGGTAAGTTTTATAAGAAGAAAATGAGGGATTTAGATTAAATACTATGAGGAAGCAAAGTAATTCTTGAGTCAGATATTGTAAGTAATACTTAGAAGAGAAAACTTAGGTTACAATTATAACTGGTAAAGAAACAGCAGTTTGGTATTTTTTTAAGATTGATTGATTATACATGTGTACACTGTAGCTGTCCTCAGACACACCAGAAGAGCATCAGATCTCATTAAAGATGGTAGTGAGCCACCATGTAGTTGCTGGGAATTGAACTCAGGACCTCTGGAAGAACAGTCAGTGCTCTTAACCACTGAGCCATCTCTCCAGCCCCAGGCAGTTTGTTTTAAAACTTGGGCTGTTTGATTATTTTTGTTTCTTTGGGCAGAGTTTGTGGTTTTGTTTGTGTTGTGACATGATTGCACAGTGGTGGTGATTTTTATATAGATTTTTCATAGTCCCAGGGTGCCTGTGCTCAGAAACTGCTTGTCCCAAACAAGAGAATGCAATGTGTGGTTGATACTGAGCACGTGGATGTCAGAGCCGTACCACCTTTTAGTTTGTTTCAACCACTTTCTCTACATTTTAGATAGGCATTTATTCTTCTGTTATTTTTTTTCACTACACCAGTTTTGTTCTGTATGGATGCTTCCAGCATACTCACATCTGCGGTTTGAGAAACATAAAACATATTCAGCTTCTGATAGTGCATAGATTTCAGAGTTCTGTTTATCAGCTGTGTGTGTGTGGTGTGTGGGGCGTGTGTGTGTGTGTGTGTGTGTGTGTGTGTGTGTGTGTATTGGCCTCTCTGGTCTACCTTGGTCATTGTGGGATTTTGTCTCTTTTATTCTCACATTTTCCTGGCACCTTGTAGGCTACAACATTAAGGAATCAAGATTTGGTGAATTTAGTGCGGCGGCCAGTGCAGTGTGCACATCTGTACTTGCCACCTCAGGTCTTTCTCACAATGCCAGATGGACGCTTGCAGCTCATTTGGCCCTGTCTTGCAGAAGGAATTTAATACGGCATTTCTTCCTAATACTGGGTAGATAGCAATTACTCTCCTATTTCTGTTCTACTTCTATACTAGATTGATTGATATCCTGGATATTTTGATACTTAAACAGAAACTTATTTTCCATTTTTCTTTCATGAGATTTTAAACTTTTCATACCTCAGAATTATTTCCCCAAGTAAATCTTTTGGACTTTTCTTCAAGTCTTGCCATCATATATTTTGGTTCCCATCCATTCTTTGCTTTGTTAGATTTAGTTTTCTGACATATTCTCTTATCAGGTAAATTTATGAGCAGTTATTTCTTGATAATGCAAAGACAATGACTTCTGTTTAGGAGAGAACAGTTTGAGTACACTAAACAGTAAGAGGATTGAATTAGTTGTTAATATTAAGATGTATGCATTAAAGGTTATATTGCGACATAATTGGAAAGACTAGAGTAAGACCAGATAATGTAAATTAATTTTATTCAGTACTTTAAACAAAAACACTGGAATAAAATGATAGGAAAAAGAGGGATGGTAACAAAATAGGCTTGTTCAAGTACAGGAGTTGGGATGATTAGGAGAATTACATTTGTAGTTCAAGTTAATGAAGTTCTTCAATTATGTTTAGAATCTCCAGCTGCTAGAGGTAAGTGGATGGGAAACATGAGGCTTTTCTGTTCTTTAATAAGTGCTGTATGACAGCTGGAAGAAGCACATTTACAGTATCAGTTGGAAGCCAGGCATAATGGTGTATATTTGTAATCCCAGAATTTGTATGGTGGAGTACATATAGTAAGTTCATTGTTATTCTTGGGTACATTCTAGCTTCAGGACAACCTGAGCTAAGTGAGACCCTGGTTTGTTTGGTTTTGTTTTGTTTTACATACAGTTGGATAAAGGAGATAGGGGAGGTGGTAGTACATACATGAAGTACGTGGTTTGTAGGTATGGCTTCACTGCCAGAGTGTCCTGGAGGCTGAGGAACAGACCAGATCTTAACCTGCTAGTATTCTCGTAGGCTTGCTCTGCTGTCCACTAGGCTTTCTTACCAAGTGTGAAACTCCTTGTGAAAATCTGTTGCCTTGCTGTTATCTCCTCTGTGATTTTGGTGGGGGGTGGGGAAGGGAGGCATCAGTTTCCTCAGGTGTCTCTGGATTGTTCACTATGTTACTCTTGATCAGTCATGGTGTAACACACATTCTCCAGTGATAGCTAAAAGAATATGTTCTTCGTGATAGTGATACTGTTGTTTAATGCTAAATTAGGAATTTTATCTTTCCAGGTTTTACTTTATTGAAAAGAAAGCTGCTTGTTAGTTTCTGTTGGTGCTAAATAAAAGAAATCTTGAAGCTAACTCAGCAGATCAGAATCTATCAATACTTGTCTGTTTCTTCTCTACCCCTTGGGTCAGGGGGTTGCCAACTCAACTGACATTATAAAGGGATTTACATGTAAATTATCGAGAAAAACTTAATTGTTAACCTTATCTAAGAGTGATACATGTTTGAAAAAAAATACATTTATTACATGTTTGTTGCTAAAGAGATATTTGTTTGAATCCTTATATCTAGATACAGAAAATTACTGTCAAATACTTACTTTTTCTTTTATAGGAAGTAGATCACCTAATGCAAAATTGCCATCAGTTCCAGCAGTTGACTCTGTCCCACAAGACCCAGTTGCACACATGAGGTATTTAAGCTGCTCACTTGGGTATTGAAATTTGTGCTTTTTTATGACCCACCCTTCTCTTCCCCCTCCCCTGAATCTTTCAAAATTTATTTTATTCCAAAATATTGTTTTAGAATGTTTATGAGAAATGTCCACTTGTAATAAAAATTCTACAAGTATGGCACATTTATAAGCTTATGGTATATATTACAAATAATTATGAATTATTAGGAATACATTGTTCCTTTTCTTTAAAAGTGTTAAAGTGATGATATCTGGTCAATCATGATCATATTAATATTGCCATCTACATAGAGTTTTACTTTTACTTAGAATTTTGATTTGGAATGTATGTTCCAGAATTTAATTCTGAAATTTATAGCCATATTTTCATTGACTATATGCCAAGTGGTCAGATAAGTTTTGTTTTTTCTTACCATCACTGTCAAATCCCTGTCTCCCTAGGGCACTCGGGTACTTCTGCGAAGGGTTTGTGTTTGTGGGATCACATAGGCCTAAAAGGTTTTGTGAGGCATATGGAGAGACCTGTGAGGAGGGGGTTGTGGAGAGCAGAATCTTTTAGAGGGTTGTCTGATAGTTTCAGTGGGAGCCGCTCTGTTGCTAATATAAGATATGGAAGTACTATTGTGATCCCAGAGTAGCATGGGCTATTGACTTGGTTCCCTGACATTCAGCATGCCTGTTTATTCTTCTAAACTCATTAAATGTATGTGACTAATTATATATGAACATATATACACACTCATGCAAACTGGTTAATATGTTGAGATAATTATAAATGTGTAGTTTATGGTTTTTCTAACCAAGTCTCTTAGATTATATTAGAAAGAAATTGTTATCACGTCCCACTCCTCCTCCTCCCGTCTCCAAGAGGATGTCTCCACCCACCCCCAGTCCACTAGACCTCCCCACTCTCTCGGGCTCCAAGTTTCTTCGGGGTTAGGTGCGTCTTCTCTGACAGAGTCCACACCTGGCAGCCTTCTTAGGCATAGTAATTTGTTTTTTGGTTATTTTATGTTTCTGTGGAAGTATATTTTACTTTAGAACCTAGAAATCTAACTGTCAACATCTTTTGTTAGTATTACAGAAAGACTAGAGCATGCACTGGAGAAGGCAGCTCCTCTGCTACGAGAGATTTTTGTGGATTTTGCACCTTTCCTTTCTCGGACTCTTTTAGGTAGTCATGGACAAGAACTGCTTATAGAAGGAACAAGTAAGTGATTTTCTTTGTTCTGTTTGTATGTATTTACATTATAAAGTTATATGCTCGAGTAAGAAAAGTCTGCATCTTCTTAAACGTTTTCACCATTGGCTAGCCCTCATGTAGGTTTGTGTCTTTTGAAGATTTTTTTTTTTTTTTTTACAAATTGGTTATATTTAAATCTTTTTTTTTTTTAAACCAGCAATTTTGATGGTGCCTTAGTTAGGGTTTTACTGCTGTGAACAGACACCATGACCAAGGCAGCTCTTATAAAGGACAACATTTAATTGGGGCTGGCTTACAGGTTCAGAGGTTCAGTTCATTATCATTAAGGCAGGAAGCATAGCAGCATCCAGGAAGGCATGGTGCTGGAGAAGGAGCTGAGAGTTCTACATCTTTTTTTCAAAGGCAAACAAGAGAAGACTACTGTCTTCTAGGCAGCTAGGAAGAGGGTATCAAAGCCCAACCCAACAGAGGCATACTTCCTCCAACAAGGACACACCCTCTAATCATGCTGCTCACTGGCCTAAGCATATTCAAGCCGCCGCAGATGGAGTTAGGCCAAAATAGTAGCATTTGTTTTTCTGTTGCTGGTGGTTGAACTTACACAAGTGCTTTACTGTTGAGTTTAATTTTTAGACCAGGATTTATTTTTTAGTGCAATGAAATTAACCACGGGGATTAGGAAGACTAGTGTAACAAGGTTTTGCTTATACTTTAGATCCATACAAACCATGGATAATAATGTAGAATGCATTATTATTTTCTGCTAGTACAATTATATTTTATGAATAAAACAGTACTGTAAACTACTCTGCTCTTATATATAATATAGGTGACAAGATCTCATTTATTTGATGTTGTCTTGCTAGATAGCATGGAGAAGAAGATTGTTGAGGAGACTAGTTACTAGGCTACTTACAGAATGGATGAAGGATAGTAGTTCTTTTGGTTTGCTTTTGTTTTCATGAGGCACTGTATAGCTAATGTTTTCAAAAGACGACTCAACTAGATGAAGGAAGATTTAGTTCAACAGAAAACAATTTTTTGGCCGGGCGGTGGTGGCGCACACCTTTAATCCCAGCACTTAGGAGGCAGAGACAGGTGGATTTCTGAGTTCGAGGCCAGCGTGGTCTACAGAGTGAGTTCCAGGACAGCCAGGGCTACACAGAGAAACCCTGTCTCGAAAACAAAAAAAAAAATTTTAAACAACTGATTGTTTTCAGGAACTTAAGACCACTGTGGTGTTATGAATTAGGAATCCCAGCATTGGGAGGTAGAAGCTCGAAAATTGGGAGTTTTAGCCCTGCCCATGACTACATGAGAAACTATATTAAAACAACAATTAATTTAATAGGTTAACTTAAAAATATCAGTTGCCATCCTCAAACTAGAGATTTTAAAGGCCAAGCTTGAGAATTAATTTTGTTTGAATAGGTTGGGTTATAATTATTGTGCTTTTTTTTTTCAACCCAATCGATGGTGTAATATAAGCACTGATAATTTACTAAAGCGCAAGGATCCTGGTTTAAAACCAAACCAAACCAAACCAAACCAAACCAAACCAAACCAAACCAAACCAAACCAAACCAAACACCAAACCAAACACCAAACCAAACACCAAACCAAACACCAAACCAAACACCAAACCAAACACCAAACCAAACCAAACCAAACACCAAACCAAACACCAAACCAACCCAACCCAACCCAACCCAACCCAACCCAACCCAACCCAACCCCCTTTATTTCTTCTTCATTGTCCAAAATACTAACTTATATTTGGTGATGCATGATCTCATTTCGAGTTCAAAAGTAACAATGAGTTTGAAATACTTCAGTTACACATCAGTAATTTATTTAATAATAGTCTACTTGGTGTAATTATAAAGGATACTTATTTATTAAGTAATACAATTTGAAAATAATTGATTTAAAGATGCAGATAAGTTTCAATTGAAAGGCCATTCAAAGCCTAATTTTTGTTTCACATATCAAAAATTCTTCAAGTTGTATGTCTACTCATGAAGGTTCATCTTTATTCATGGAGTTATGTATGTGTGTTTGTAGCATAAATGTTCTTTCAACAGATACTTAGTGTGAGAAGTCCAATGCCAGGTCTATTATGTCTCCCCACTCTGCTCCTTAAGCACATTTACTACTCTGCAAAAACACATTAGTTGTTCAACTAAAAGTGTGATATTACATGCCCTTTCACTACCATTGTTCAGTGCGTATGTTTCTCTGTAATCTTTGTATTTGATATATTTATTATAAAGATTGTATGTATTATGTTATTCTGCAATAAGACTGAAATAAGCAAATATATATACATGTATTTTTCTACATAGGTATTGAATTACCTGTATGTGTGGTAGACCAAAGACCGTTGTATAAACTTTTCTAAATTTGGATGCCCGAAATCCTTTCTGTCTCTTTTGTTCATTACACATATGAATAGATGTGAAAAGGTCTGGATTAGAATCCAGAAGTAATAATTCTGGTTCCTGTGGAATTAATTAACTCATTTAATGAGGATTAATGACCTAACTCTGAAAGGTTCAGAATTGATTCATTATAAGAATTTATTTTGGGGGTCATTTTCTTTGATTTTTGAGATTATATTTATACCATTTCTTCCTTCTCTTTCTTCCTTGCAAACCTTTCCATGTACACTCACTGCTTTCTTTTTCGAGGAGAAATTCATAGCCTTTTATTCATTACTTGCTGTTACATGCATATACATATATGCATACACACACATACACACATACACACACACACACACACACATACACACACATATTCCTAAATATAACTTGCTTAGTCCGTATGTTACTTTTATTAATATTTTCTCGGCTGACCATTGGCTTTGGGTAACCGATTGGAATCATTCTCCCTGGGGAAGGAAGGTTGTCTCTCCTACTCTCAGCAAGAGTAATAGGTTCTGATGTTGGGGTAAAACTGTGCTTGTATCTATTTTATATTTTAAGAAGTGACAGATTTTGGATCAGTGGAAGCCCAAGCAAGCAAAGAGAGGTGGTAGCTCTGCCCTTCCTTTCCTGCTTGGCAGCCTTTGGGCTGAGGTGTTCCCATCATCTTAGAAGTGCAAACCCACACGTTAGTAATGACCTGCTTGCTTAGTGCAGCCCAGAAATGCTATGCACACATTTTTATGCCACTGTCTACATTGCTTTTGACATTTCTAACATGGCTAAATTGTTATCTCTTTTTTTTTTTAAATAAGAAAGTGAAAAGTATTTGTAAAGCTTTAACATGCCAACCAGTGCCATTGTTCAGTTGAGGAATTATTCTTTAAAAAGAAGAAAAACTGAAGAGCATGACGATAAGAGATAGGGAATGAGTGGGATGTATGGAAGTTTTAGTGGAGTGAAAATGGAACTAGCACCACAGGGCTTTGAATAGCACTAGAATGTATGTAATAAAGAGTTAACAGTTGTATGTCTTTGATAATTATAATGTCTTTGGGTTATTCAATCCTCATAATTGTTGGAATTACTTTTTAAGTATATTCATAATAGTAAATTCTTTGAGCTGTTCTTTGATTGTATTGGGTATTTAAAGTAAATAACTCTTTAGATGGTTATTAATGATATAAACATTTCTTCCTAAGGATATTTTTAGTTACTATAAAACAAAACATAGAGAGGAAAATGTAAATAGTTTATAAGAAATGGGGAATACATAACAGACAATGGCTTGCATTTCTGTTAAGGTTTAGTGTGAGGTCGGAGGTCAAGGTACTAATAAGAGTGTTTGGGATGTCTGCTGCCATGAAACAAAATGGAAACTTGATTGATAGCTGGAGGGTTGGAGGGAGAGAGTGTGGTGGAGAAAGCAAAGGTCAGGGAGCTATTTCCCTTCTCTGCATGCATAATGATCAGGTCTCAACCAACAACATGTAGATGATCATGGGCAGTATGGCATATGTTGTATGCATTTCTATGAGTATCATGAACTATAATTATAGAAGAAGTCAAAATTGTTTGAGTATCCTGAAAGTTAAGATAAAATAGTTTACAGAAGTGGTCATTTTGATACCAAGTTTAAAGTAAGCACAGAGTACTTTGTTTAATCACACAATCTAATGTGTACAGGTATAGTTTTTAGCACAATATTTAACATTTTAGTTTTAAATCAATTTGGACAAAAATAGCATAAAAATGAATCTCTGGAATTTTTAAAAACTTTGTGTTTTCTGAATAACTTTCTCTTTAAATTAGGTCTGGTCTGCATGAAGTCCAGCAGTTCAGTTGTGGAGCTGGTCATGCTGCTGTGTTCCCAGGTGGGTGCAAACACCATCACATGGCGATGTAGAAGGAAGTTCTCGTGTGTTTGTTTGACAGCTTCTTGCTTTATTAAATTTTTATATCAAAAAAGTTTTGAGTGTTATCTTAAAAGGATTTAATTTCTATCTTAAAATCATTACTTATATATAGTATTGATGATTTTGAAACATGAACTGAGAGTGTGTATGTATGTGAGAGGGAGAGAGAGAGAGAGAGAGAGAGAGAGAGAGAGAGAGAGAGAGAGAG